CTGAATAAAGCTAAGTGCTGGGGACCTAAGTGGTCACCTTAATATTAAAAAAAAAAAAAAAAAAAAAAAAAAAAAAAATTATTACAAAATTAATTTGATTGAATGAACTTATTTGATAAATTCAGTTCTGATGCAAGATCAAAATCATATAAAACTGAATCAAAGACTGAAATCAGACCAGGACTTAGGGTGTTTCATAGTATGTGTGATTCTGGGTATTATGATAACAAAATATTGGTACTGGGGTTTATAAACACAGATTTCGCAATCGAACTATATATAACCTTTATAGTAGTATTTCATATATTGCACAAAGATATAAAAGTTGATAGCATAGTGTTTTTCCCTGACAAATTAATCAAAATACTAAAAGGGTGCTATTCTGATATTTAAAAATTTAAAATTAATACAGTATTTACAACATTTGAATATATTTTTAAAAACTAATTATAATTAATATGATGACTAACACCTTGAGAAATTGTAAGCCAAACATCATCAGAACTTAGATGTAAATGTTTATAATAGTTGTAAGACTGAAGAATAGCAGCAACAAATCTATTTGGCAATAAGTTCTTTCAATGACAGTTTTTTTAGAGTCATCATATTTTGTGAATACAGCATAAGGGGGATAGAGGTATTATGGTGAAGTTAAAGTTGCTATTATTAAAACTTTTTATTAACCCATATAAATATCCAAATATTTATAGCAAACGATTCAAATTACATTCAAAAATAAACTAATATAAAAAAAAAAAGAGTACAAAAATCAGAGTTGGCCAAAGAATCTTTATCATGTGTGATATTATTTTAAATCTAAAATTTGATCGCCGGGGTATTATGGCGAATTTAATTTTAGCAGCAAAAAAATTTTTTTTTAACCCAATTTGTTATCTGTACTAGGTTTAGCTTTTGGCCAACCTCTTTTTCGGTTGACTGCCTCTACTTTTTTTTGGGCTGCTGCTTTTTTTTGGGCTGCTGCTTCTTTTTTTTAGGCCGCTGCTTCTTTTTTTTGGGCTGCTACTTCTTTTTTTTGAGCTGTAGCCTCCTTTTTTTGTCTAATTTCTTCAGCTTTTTGTTCAGCTTCTTTGTTCACCTCTTTCATTTGCTGCCAACTTTCTTCATTGGTCAAAAGTCGAGCAAATAGGAGTGTCTTTCTCTTTTTTTTAAGAGGAGGCAACACAGATTCAGATGCCTCTTGAAAATTTTGAACTTGCGAAATAGGATATTTAAGCGCTAGACGCAATGCACATGTTCCAGGGTTCTTGTAAGTTTTTAGCTCTTCACTTAGTTTTTTAACCTGAGATTTTAACAAATCATTCTCATTTTTTAGTAAAATGCTATCTTCTTTTAAATTCTCAATATTTAGGTGAGTAGAATGAGAATGACTTGTTAGTGCAGGTGGTGGTGATGTTAGAGTCATACCAGTCGGCTAAACAAAAGGCAAATTATCTAAAGTTGAATCTTTAAACTGTTCAGTCACTAAAGAAGGTCTAAATAATCATCACCAATTGCACTAGGATTAAAGGGCTATATCCCAGTCATTTTGTAGGCATTACAAATAGCTAGTAGCATATAAGTTTTTGCAAAAACGAGACCAAGAATCTTTACAAAGGTATGCTTTGTAACTATTTTGCCATTATTGTCATTATGATACTAATCACTTGCTTTACCATACTCATTTTTTAATTTGGCAAATGGAATCTCGGATGGTTGTAAAACATGTGTTGTATGAGGTGATAATGCGAAAAGAAGGATACCATTGTTGCGACAAAAGTCAATAATCATATAGTTAATGTGACTTTTGTGACCATCAAGTATTAATAGAACTGGACGGGTAGGTGGGATTGAATTAATTAAATGGTTAAGATACATTTGAAAAAGATTCTCACGCATGTATCTAGTATCTGTAAAACCCATGATGGTTCTAGGAGGTGCATCTTCTAATAGACCTGGGATTGCACGAACACCTTTATAGATAAATAAAGGTGGTATACATAACCCAGTGGCTGAAATAGTTGGTATTACAGAAATATGTTCATGAGTATTTCTGTGTACCACTTTGTAAACTTGGCATGCACCTTTTTACGCAACAACTTTTTCAGATTTAGAAATAAGGGCGAAGCCAGTTTCATCCATATTCCAGATCTGTGTAGTAGTAAGTGAATTTTTATCAATAACTTTACTAAGTTTTTCAAAGTAATCCTTTACAATAGTCGCATTGGCTTTTTGGGCACGTGCTTCTGATAAATCTTGGGGAGTACAAAATGATAGTTCAGGATGGTCTCTCATAAAACGCATCCACCAATCTTGACCTGGCCCACTATTCCCAAAAGGATGTGTTCGCTTGTTTAGTCTCAAGATCTCCATTACACAATAGTTGATACCAGATCTTGTTAGACCAAACCCGAGCCTTTGCATATTAATGCAATAACCTGCAAGTTGGTTTTCTTCATGCTCAGTAAGTATAGTTGGTGGGCTTGAATGATTAAGAGGACCATCATTTTTTACAGCATGTCGAAGAGTAGTTTCTGGAATCTCAAAACTTTTTGCAACACTATTAACACTTGGACATTTAGAATTAGGAGAGCAATTATTTAATTCATTAAGTGCTGCTTGAATAGTGTCTCGCCGATTAATATAAGAGACTGGTGGCATGTTAGTTTATTACAATATTATACGTATGCGTAATTTATTCTATCTTTAAAAGTATCATGGTAATGTAACAAACTATACAGTAATGTGTACTTTTATGTAATGCATAGTTAGTTCAATAAACTATACTTTTTATTAAATGTGCAAGTAAATATTGACAACTGATTTAAAATTTATTGTATCAGTTGTTATGAAACGCGAAAAAAAAAAAAAAAAAAAAAAAAGGTACCGAAAAATGTTAAGTACTACAAACTAAACTGCATAGTGTAAATTTAATTTAACTTACATCAAAATTACATAAATTTAAACTTTAATTTTGGATCTTCACATGATATTCTTAGTAGTTCTTCATTATATCGATGCATATTTTGTAAAATATGTAACCAATGGTTCACCATAATACCCGATAATATCCAATTTAACATTCTACTTTTCTTATCTTGTGATCCAAAGTCCAAATTAGGCAATTTTTATATCATTCGAATCCTTTATTGAGAGGATTCGAATGGTGAAAACATTATTTTATTTGGATCATGGGATCACAAGATAATGCAAATTCGCCATAATACCCCTCTTCGCCATAATACCCCTATCCCCCTTATACTTTAATATTTTTAAAACAATGAGCAATTTGATCCTCAATCAAAATATAAGAATCTAATTTATTGTCAAGTTTAATTTTTTCTGTTAGAATTTGAGTACTTTGAGCATTATTTGTTTTTCATGATATTTAAATTTTCAATATCTATAATGATACCCACAATTGTTAAGTATTTAAATAAAGTTTGATATTTCATGTTTAAATAGAAGACTGAAGCCAATAAAAATAAATTTATAACAATTGCTAAAAAATTAGTTTGTTCTTACAAATATTCAACTATAAAGGTTGCTACAAGAGTTGGATTGGATTGGGTTGAGCTACTTCTAAACCCATTCAGAGCCATTCCAGATTTTTTTAGAGTTGCTTGAACTTGGGTTGGGTCTTCAGAGCTGCTTTGAAGTATGCTACTCCATTAACCCTAGTGGCTATTTAAGTTTTAAGTAGTATTTATATGACTCAAAGAAAGAATACAGATAATGAGAATTAATAGCAAATAAGGAATCTTAAATAAACTCTATTAAAAGTTTGCTACAATATTTTAAACTGATTTTGGTATCCAAACATTTCTGATTATTAAACCTAAAATTTGAATCAGTTGAAGTGAAGTCAAAAGGCTTTCACATTGCTCCTCTTAGCTTCTGCCAATAAAATACAATTCAAAATTTTGTAGTTAAGTAAAATATCTCTTTATCTTTTAATATTTTGAAAAGGTTTAACAATAATTTTATGAAATGAAATATAAAAATAGTATAATTTTTATAGTTAAAATGAGATTAGAACTAATTGAAAGTGTATTAATTATTATCTTGTTTTCAAAGAATAATTACTATTTTATATTTTTTTCATAATAAAATCTAATTCTGCCATCAGCATTTATACAAAATGTGAAATTTTTGTTATTCTCTCTATGGCCCCAGTGTAATTAAGATGATTAATAAAATCTTCAAGTTTTTTACAATAATTTAGTAAATTATCTAATGGTGGCAAATCACAACCTTTATTTTTAAAATCAATTGATTTGTCTGCTAGTACTGGTTCAAAACCTACTTTCTTAAAAATAGACAAAGAACTAACATTTTTAGGTTTAACTATAGCTCTGAATTGTTCTAATTTTTTACTATTAAATTGAAAGATTTCTTGTTTATTCTGTATATAAAGATTTTCTCCTAAACCAATTCTGTATACTTCAGGACTCCACCCATCAACCATTTTACTTAAAACTAATTGCCCTATTTCTCTATTCCAGTATCTACAATACAATACATAAGCTATTTCCAATTTACCTTTTTTTAAGGTTTAGATATTATAAATTCTATAAATTTACCATATTTATTAAGAATAGTGAGTATATCTTTAAACTGTTCAATTAGATATTCGTCATTTTTTCTAATTTCAGCTTCATTACTTTCTAATTGCCTTTCTTGATACATATATTTCATAATATTTGCATCAGATAATAAACATTTATATTTTGTATATTATCCTGATGCATTTCTCGAGCAAACTATCTATAATTATTTTTATCAACACTACTAAGACTTACAGATATCATATCATTTTTTAATTTAAAAATTGATATATTTTAAATAAGCAACAACTTCTAAACTTTAAGTATTTTTTATTGAAAATTCTTGAAAATTGATTTTTAAAGAAAAATAATTTACAGAATTTATAACAAAACTATAGTTGCAGTTCACA